CCCTTAGAATGACCGGAATACCTCGCCGCCCCTTGAACGGGAATACCTCGCCGCCCTCAGAATGACCGGAATACCTCGCCGCCCTGGCAATGACTGTAATACCTCGCTGCCATTGAATTTTATTGGCCTGGGATATTTCCACAAACAGTAAAAATATCTTAGAACTTATACAATACAATTGTTTGCTTTTTTGCTGTGTGGAATTGATTGAGGTGTGTTTGACTATAGGACATGACAAGAGTTTCCAGTTGGATGTCTAGGCAATGACAATGAGCACATGTGTTAAACAAATTTCAGTTTCTGCTTCCACAATGAGCTTCATTCTAATTTAATATATGTCTTTTTGTCAGCAGGATATCTTAGTGGTGTGTTTCACCCGCAGGGCGAGATCCTGGGACTTCGGATGGCAATGGATGAAGATACTCAAATGGAAGATGAAGCGGGTTTGAATCCAGGCCTTGGGGAGCTCACCTTTGACGATGGAGGTATGCGCGGGCTTGCTGCAGCACTGTGCTGGGTTGGGCTGGTTTACAGATGCTCCAATGAGAGCAAAGAGGCATTGTGCCATCCCAGTGTGATTGCCCTGGCTCGCTCATTGCTGCAACTGCCTACCATGCGTAAGAGCCAAAGCTCAGACATGATGTCTGAACAAATCCGCCGCATCATTCGCCAGAATGTCGAGTCCAAGAAAATGGCAATCACCAGCTTTGAGTGGGCGGAAATCCTACGCAACATGAACAAGCAGGGGCAACCAACTTCAGTGCAAGATGCCATCGACTGCTACAACAAGAGTCCAGAAGTCGCCGCTCATGGTGGATCTGGTTCCAAGGAAGGTTGTCAACAATTTGTTCACACTAGTCAAAAAATACTGAGTTTCAAGATGGTGCAACTGTTGTAGTTTGTTTGATGTCCCTGTAGGACCGGATTGGTGCGGGCTCTTTGGTGATTGACAGCAAGAAGCTGTGGGCAATAAAGCATTGGATGGAACAGACCTGTGACGCAGCACGTGAAGAGGTCATGATCTCATTGAAAGACAATGCCTTTGCCTTTGGACCTTGGGGGGAGAGTTTGTCTATCATGAAGCACCTGTTCATGAAGTCCACCATTTCCAATCTTCAGTGCTCCACTTCGTCATTGTCGCCTTTGGAGGGTGAGAGCACCATTCCTTTAGACTGGACTTTGCCCATGTGGTCTCATGCACAGACAATGCTCTTCCGCAGGATTCGGTTGCACTTCGAGAAAGCGACAGCCATTGTGGAAGATGCCCAAGACCGTCGCAAATACAGAATGTCTGAATCGGATCTGTTGAGCCTCAGAAATGTTCTGTGCCTTTGGGCACAGGTGAGGGATTTCCTCTCTACCCGCCTTCCCAACTTCACGAGCCTGGAGGAAGCACTCATGAAGGGCAATGGAGCTGATCATGAGCTAGAACAGATCCTTCAGCAGCGGCCAGCCGTGTTTGCAGTTTCCTTCTTGCCGTGTGCGCAACAGTCTGCTCTGGAAGATGTCAAGAAGCACGAAGAAGTTGTGACATTAGAAGCTCAGAAGCAGAGATTGGAACTGAGGGATGCAAAGTGGAAGTACTTTGCTGCTGCGCTTAACCGTGATCAGCAGGTTTTGCGCATGATTCTTTCTGCTCCAGCAAAGCTTGAAGCTTTGAAGCACAGGAAGCAAATGGCATGGAGGATTGAGCAAGCCCAGGTCGGAGAACGGGTGGTGAAGAGCTACCTTGAGAAGTTCCTTCGGTGTGATGTTGTTGAGAAGATGAGCATGGGCAGCTGAAGGTCAACGAGTACAGGAGTTTTGTGGCTGCTTGCTTCCAATTCAATTGTTTTGTTTCATTCTGGATACTGATGACTTTTTACATTAAGGTGCGACAAGCGTTCAACCCTTCTTATAAAACCTCGTTTTATTGTGAACCTTACAATCATTGTCCAATTATGTTTGTGTGATGTGGTGTTGAAATTTCCACCAAGCCCAAAGCATCATCCCTTCTCATGTAAACCTTTTTGTGTCTGACATGTGAGGCAGCTACTTGCAATTGCAAAGAATCTGATGTCCACATCTTGACCTTCGTGGATTTGAATGTTCCTTTGGCCAAATCCAAGGAACGCATGGAGGAACTATGCACCCTCGTGCAATTCGCGAATGACCTCCAACCTACGCGCAATGTCGGCGTCATTGAGGTGCCTGAAGCACCGAAGAAGACCTCAAAGCGTGGCCTTGCGGATGAGGAGTCTGATCTGCAACAGACTCTGTGGGGGTTGCGGCAAGCATGTGACAACAGATGGTTTGTTCCTTTTGAGATCCAAGCCTCGGCAGATGCCCAGACTGCCAGGAGGCGGAACCTGTGTGAAATGATTACACAACACAATATAGCACTTAGAAATATCATAAACTCTATTCTGTGAGAACTTTTGGATGGTTTACTCTGGGATGATTTATATTATATACAGTTCTCATGATTTTAATTCAGCAAGCATTTGCTGACAGAAGCAGGACGATATTTCGACAATGTTTTGGTGTTTTGTTCTCGGAATCATGCTGTAGGCGGTTCTCCTTTGGACGCTTGGTGGTCAACAAGGAGGCTGAAAGCGATAACCCGTGGATCAACAACAGTGAGTTTGGTAGTGCAGGCAGACCTTTGGGCACTGACCCAATTATCCTACCATTGAGCAAAGACCTGATCCTGCCAGAAGCATTAGATCCAGACAGCGACCTGCGCTTTGCAGAAAGACTTCGACCAAGTTCGGAAGCGACATCCGCTCAAAAAGGGTGTCAGCGTTGGGAGGCAATTCTCAAGTCCATGCTCACCATGACCGGCTACAGCTTGAAGAAGTCACCAGTCATTGTACTCAACCTCACGTCCTATGTGGAGGATCTTGGAGTTTCAGTTCCTTGTCTGGATAGGAGGGCTGGCATGAGGAAAACCCCTCCCCATCAAATGTTTGAACGAAACCGCATGTTGTTTGGCAGTCAGTTGATCAGGCCATAGCGCAGCCCGGTACACGTTCATTTAGATTGCCATGCTTTGCTCTGCTGATGTGTTTTGTTTATATAATGGTTCAGAGCCAGCCAAAGTCAGATCTCACCGTCATGATGACCCTGACAGCTCTGGAGAAGAGATGCTCAAATTGAAAAAACAAGAGCAAGCACGTGACATCTTCTCTGTCTTTTCCAGACCTGACTTACCCAAATGAGAAGAACCCTTATATATAATAATTAGACCCCTTTGCCTAAAAGATTCGGATGCATCACTATCGGCTACTACAGGCTTCTCAGTTTGCCACCCAATGACCACCCAAAGAACCCTCCTGCGTTCTTGTAGTAGTAGCTGCAAATTGCATCGCGCAACCAACCCATTAAACTAGAGCTCCGAGCTATGGTAATACGAAAGAAAGCACAATTCAGTGAGAAGAAAAAATAGATTCAAATAGTGGAAAACATGGTTGGGTGAGAAACCAATGATTACCAAGAGTCAGAGCTTTCTTTGCGGTATGTGTCATTGGGTCCTTTTTGTCTCCAAAATTTGAATTTTATTTTGGATTGAATCAAATTCATTGGTTTTAATCCAAGGCTTTCCGTCTCAGGGAGTCCAAGCAAGAGCTCAAGGGAGGCTTTCACACGGACTTGCTCTTTTACCAAAGCGTTTGGTGGCTAAACAAGGACGGATTTGGAGCTGCACGATTGGCCAGAGAGGTGACCGATGCATGGATCGCAGGTAAGCTGGAGCACGCAGGGCAGAAAATCAATGTCGACATTCCAGCTTTGACGAATGATGAAATCTCATCAATCCCAGGCGCTGCCGCAAGCCTTTCTCGACTTGACACGGTGCAGTTCGAAGTCCTGGAAAGGATTGGCAGCAGCATGAACATCAAGAATGACGAACACCGCTTCTGGATGGCCTAGGGAGGGACCATCACAGATGAATATTGTGCCCTTCGTGAAGCTCATCTTGACCTCATAGGAAGGGAAAATGTGCTTCAAGCAGATGGTCCAAGTGAAGCATCCCAGCAACTTGTAGAGGCACAACCCGAGAACACAGAGTCTGAAGCAGCTACCACAGCTACCACCATGGAATCCTTGGAAAAATTGGAAGCGTCGCATGGTGTTGAGCACAAGGTTGCCTCGGAGATCCCTCAGGTGGAGATTATTTTGGCAAAAGATGGGTCTTTGTGGCTGATGTCTTCTCAAGATCGGTCCATCCCAAAGCATTCACAACTCGGAGGCTTTGGGACAGGGCAGTATGTGCCAGCAGAAGGAGAGGAAGGCATCGACTTCCATCTCCCTGAAGGGGATCGCTCTCTGGTCCAACTCGACGAGGCATCTTTCAAAGCAGATGGGAGTGGTGTGTCAGTCATCACCTTCTTCAAAATGCTTGTCTTAGCGGAGCAGCAGAAGCATCTCACTCAACATCTGGTCTCCTACATGAATGTGACCAGGAAAGCGGACAGCAGCCTTGAGACCGGGATGGATGGTTTTGAGATCACCTACAAATCCAAGATGCGATTCAAGTGCTTGGTTCAGGAGAAGGTCACCTGCAAGAACATTTTTGCGAAGATGGTGGGCAAAATCAATGAGATGGGTCAACTGCAGTCGATTTTTAGGTTCCGATATGAAAGGATTGGAGCCTCTTTTAAAGTCCAGCGGCCATACGTAATTACAAAGGCCAGGATTAGCCTCAAGCGCGGACAGCCTCAACAAATCAAATAGGGGGTTGGCATGCTAGAAATGTCTGTTTACTAATTTTGTTTACCTGGTTGGGGATGATTAGAATCTTTTGGAACAGTTTTTGAACATAGAATGGTTTGTTTGATGAATCTCGGCACCTTGCCACACCTGTTTGTTTGAGGCGGGCTTCAGCATGTTTGCATAACAGTGCTTCAGGGCTTCAGGGTCGGTTGTTTGACAGGGCTAGGAATTGCTTATCACAGGTTTGTCATTTATCCAATTTCGGATTTTCTGTCTGAGCTGTATTCACCTGAGTGCACTGCGGCATATGCTGATTTGGCAATAGCATGGAGCTCATTGGGCGCTAGACTTCTCTGATAGGAAGCCACAGTCCTGAAAGAAATCCTAGTCATCCTAGTCGAAATACTAGTTGATCTATGATGATCATTCAATGAACGTATCCTTGTAGGTTTTATGGCTTTGCTTCAAGGGGAGTGAGAAGATGCTAGCATCATCCCAATGGTAGGTAGCTTTATACAACTTTGCCATTTTGATGAGGCAGCACCGCGCAAGAAAACAACAGAAACGAGACACTCAATTCTTCTCAGCAAAGCTTTGGCAAGGAGGAGCATCTCTTCAACTACTCTATTGTATAATTTGTATAGTGAGAGTTGAGAGCAGTGTGTACCTGTTCTGTTTTGTGTGTCAAACCGGCTCAATTTGAGATTCCTTGTTTCAGTCAGTCGGAAACTACCTTGATTCTCAGAATGGCGCTGACTTACGAGGAGGTCTTGAAGGTGTGGCAAGGCCTGGAGATTATCCTGGGCATGTCTGTCTTGAATGAGAAGGGCGATTTTGGTCATGAATGCCTCAGAGAAACGCTGATCAGGCTTCAGTGTTTGCCCCTCTTCAATGAGACACCCGAGAACATGGATGTTCTGTTGAGCATGGTCCAGTTGCTCACAGTACTTCGGAACATGACTTTCTACGCTTCCATGAACGGAGGTTACGACGGCTCAGAGATCACAACATGGATTCACCATGGTCGAGATGTTGTTGGACCTGCACAGCCTACTCGCGAACTCAAAGATGTGGTTGGAAACAGCCCAGAGCACATTGAAGACATTTTGGACAAGTCCATCCAAGAGGTGAAACACCTTCAAGTGACTTGTAGCTCTGACAGTTTTAATGTGCAGCAGTTGCTGTCTAAAGCCCTGAAGCTGCTGGAACAAGTAGCAGAAGAGCTCTCAGCAATTTGATAGGTGTGCCACTTTTGTCGCTCTTTTTGGGAAAAGAGTAGGTGCATTGTTGTGCAACTCTTTCATTTGGCAGTCGCTCGTGGCGCAAAGGTGTCATCAACTTTCATACACTTTTATGGCCTGATCTCCCCATTTGACTTTTAAGTTTCATTTTTTACATATGGCTCAAGCAAGTTGGTTAAGTCTGGACTCCGCCGCTGATGTCCTTTGACATTCAGAATCATATTTTGCGCAGCGCTGCTCTCCATGCCCAGGGAACACAAGCACCAGGGCCTTCACCACCAAGGGCTGTGGCAACCCATGAGAGTCAGGGTGGAGGTGGGGATGTTTTTGAGGCAACACCACAGCGAGGACAATCACAAGAAACTACCCCTCCAGGGAGAGGTCGTGGTCGTGGAAAAGGTCGGGAACGAGGGCGTGGCAGGGGGCGAGATAGTGGAAGACTTTTGTTTGCAGAGTGTGGGAATTGTTGTTTTGTCTAATGATATTCGATATTCATTAATCCTGTCCCTGAGAAAAAAAACAATCTCATTACAAGTTCATGGGATACACCCCAATACAGCCCACCCAAAAAAAAAGCATTAACATGATTAACCTTGCAAGCTCCATGCTCAGGAGCACCTGTGCTGAAGAGACCTGCTGCTAAAGTGAAGGAGGAGCCTGAACCAACACCCATTGTGAAGAGGCCTTCGGTGTCCAAGTCTCCAGCTAGAAAAACGAGGAAGAGGGAGACTTCTGATGGAAATGATGGCGGAAACATTGCTGATGCTACTGCTACCGATGCCAATTTGGACCATGAAGAACCAGAGGAGGAGGAAAGGACCAGTGATCCAGAAGTGGCACAGGAGGAGGCGGAGGAGGAAAAGGACATCGAAGTCAAACGGAAACCAGCTTCAGCTCCTACAACACCAACACCTCGGAAAAAACCTTCAACGGCAACAGGACGTGGGAAACCGAGGAAACCTACACAGCGGGCAAGCTCTACTTTGGTTCTAGATACTGCCTTTGATGATGGATGGAAGCTTCAAAAGTTTGTCCGCAACCCAGGCACCAAAGGTGCAGGTGGAACCTATGCAAAATTCACCGCCCCTGATGGCACTACCTTGTGGTCCCTTGTGAAAGCCCGGGATGCGGGCTTTGTTCATGATTACAATGGACAGTGATTAGATTTAGCCATGATCGCTGGCTCAGAATGAGCGTTTTTGAGACTAGCAACATCCTGCGAAGTCAAAAATTGATAGCGGCTTCCATCACAGATTAACACACACAAGTTAACACCGAACCGAAAACACCACAAGTCTTGAAAACACTATCTTTTATGAGAACTCCTTTATTTTACTTACTGTACATATTTTATGTTGATACTGATGATCAAAGAAAGGGGTTGCTGGCTGCCGCTTCGTACTGTGTGAGCGTGTGTTGTGTGTGCATGGGATGGGTGCCAGCATGTGGCAGGGGAATGGACTTGAAGACCACATAAGGTGGAATGAAGCTACATCTGACTTTCCAGTGGTACGCTTTTTCAAGGCATGAACACTTGTTTGATGATGTGCAGTTTTTTTTCTGTCACTTTTTTCTGCTACGACGGAGGGTTCAGGTAGTTGATTTTTTGATACTACCATGAAAATAGCAACACCAGGGCACTGACTTGTGACAAATATCCCAACACCTATAGGCAAGAGGTGTGCGGGAAACTGTTTTAAACCAAATTGAACAATAGGTCAAACATATTCCAGCATGGATTGAAAAAAATGTTTTACAGCAAAATGCATCGGAGGACGCAGGTCACGTTGTATGACTATAAGGTTACCCATGATGCACTCGATGGATCGTGTGCCACCGTGGCACGCCCGGTGTTGCCCCCCTCTCCACCCCGGCTCGAAACCCGGTTCCAGGTCGGGACGAGCATCAAGAGATACGAAGGTACCACGAGGAATGACATCCAATCCATCCTGCGACAAACCAACCTATGCCACTGTTCTTTCTCTCCGCGAAGTACTGCGGAAAGTACGAGCTTCGGCGGACCGGATCGGCCGAACACTCCAGGCTCGGTCCCAAGTTAAGGCATTGGTAGGCATTGGCCCGTGCACGCCGCACGGAGAACACCGGATCTATGTGATGTTTGTTTATTACACTCCCTGAAACAATCATGGAAGTGGACAGTGGTCCCTTGGAAGACTATGTTCCTCTACCATCCTCTACCAGGAGGGGGTTGTCCACTTCCATTGTTGCAGGGTATACTGACCTCTGTTGGATCATGCGCGACCTAGTGACTAGGTGGCTCCAAAGGCTCCCGTGACCAGATTTCGAGCTGTCAAGGTCATCTTAAAAGCATGAGTCCGGTATTGATGCACCAATCCAGCATGTGTGGGTGCTTGGTTTGTATGTTTACAGGAAACCAGCCAATATCGCCCACCTTTTCACTTGAGCCAAAGATCGATGGTCGAGAGGTATATAGTACATAGAATACGTGGAACACTTAGTAAAAACACCCCCCGCGGCGCGAAGCGGCTTTGCCGCGGTGCACCGAAGAGGAAGTCATTCAGTGTCCACGTATCAACCTCAGGCGGCGATGAAATCAAACCGCACTACGACCCTCGAACTACTGCTTGCGAGTAATGCATGTCGGCACGAATGCAATCAAACTCCTACTTAACGATGCAAGACGAAAGCATGATTGAGGCAATCGATCCCTTTTCACTGACGCGGAGCATGCGACAAGACTTCGCCTGAGCAGCTATGGCAATTGACCTCAAAAATTGCGATAAGCAATGAGGTTTCTCACTAGGACAACGGCTATGCCTTCCGGCACGCTCGTCTCACTGGGAACTCTTACCGTTCCATGCTCGAGAAAAGCGTACACAGACTGCACAAACCATTGAATTAAATGCAAAATGAGCTGATTGAAGGGTTTACGGCAGAGCGTTCCCGCCCGCTTCATAGGGACCTTGAAGGTATCACACCAACGAATTTTTTCCGGCGTGACCTTCCGGTCCGCATGGCGAGACGATGTTCTCTGCTTCTTTCTCCCTTTTCTTCATGGCTCTTCAGCGGTTCCACCAGCCTCCCTTGGACGAGGACCACCAGTCGGAGGAAGATGACGAGGCAGCCTCACTCTGCCATGAGGATCGCCCGGAGCGGTTCCAATCCCACGAACCGGAGCCCCAGGAACCTCCCCATCCTTGGTTCCAGCTGCTTTGCCAGCCTCCTTGATACTGGCTCTTCCCCTTGCCTTTGCCCTTGCCCTTGTTGCGACCCTTTGCTTCTGGGCAGTCGCGGGCACGATGGTCGGGTGAGCCGCACTCGTAGCAGAGCTTGGCGTCTTTCCCGACTCCTTTTGAGCGAGGATCGAAGGCCGTCTTCGTGCTTTCCTTTGCAGTGGATCGCCGCTCGGTGAGCTTCACCTCTGGAAACCGTCCTGAAAAGATCGTCGTGTCGGAGTACTCGGTTCCCTCGCAGGCTCGAGCCCAATTGCGTTCAGCAAACTCCACTAAATCGCTCAGGATCTGCACGGCGTCGCCTTCCGGCACGCACTCCAGGCTTCCCCATCCCTCCACAGCAACAACGGGTTCGTTGCGTGTGCGGGCCAGCGAGCACCACATCGAAAACTGCTTCAAATTGAAGAAACGATTGTGATGACATACGAACGATTCGTCTTCGATCGACATGGCATCGTTCGGGTCCCTGGCAATAGTGGGGATAAAGCACAACTTGGAGTGGTGCTCCCTCTCTTGGTCGTCAAGGGCCCTCTTCCGCTCGAGAGCGCTTCGTCCAGGGTTGGCAAAGATCGCTCGTGCAAGTCGGTGAAGAAAGGTGAGTGACCCTGACGTGAGCTGCGTTGTTGCACAGTTATAGGCAAACAACGGGTCAACCTCCAGTCGCTTCGTCGGTCCGGGCAATCCCAGCTGCTTCGCCTTCCTGACGTAGTTGACGGCCAGTCTCTTGACTAGGCCGAACGCCGATTTGGCGCCGCGCTGCTGTTCGCCCTTGGATGTGTCTTTGACGACGTTCGCCTTGCGAAAGGATCTTGTTGAAAGCTGATCCAAAGCGACGACGGACTCATTGAGGTTGGCCGTCTCTTCCATCCGGGCAAGTTCACTGGCCGAACGGGCGTCGGACCAGACCTGCAAGTCTTGGCGACAATAGTCGCATTTGCGCTGGCCATCAAAGTGCTTCGTCGCACACAAGGGTGATGGGCACACCCGCTTGGGGATCTGGACAATCTCATTCGCCATCAGATCTTCGTCCGTGATGTCGCGAAACTTTCCTTTGCCCTTGCCCTTCTTGCCCTTGGACTTGCCCTTCGATTTGCCCTTTCCTGCCCAGCCAGACATCTCCTCATTGATGATAATGCACACTTGTCCCAGCATAAAGCCGGTAAGCTCTGGCGGCGGACCCTCCCGGGACGCTTGGCTCTGAGTCAGGGCAACCTCATCGGTAATGCCCGTCATCTTGACTGCGCCTCGCATCAGGTTGATCTGGCCCACCTTGACGTGCTGCTGATTCTGGCGGGCATTGTTCAGCATGTAGTTTCGGGCTTCAGCCAGCTTGCTCAGTCGGAACTGTGGATCGTCAGTGGAATGGCTCTTCATTTCTTCATGGTACATCTGTCGCATCTTGGCGTACGCCCTGTTGAACCAAACAAATTGGTTGTTCCGGGCATCGTACGCGTACATCAGTGCGGAATTCGGAACCCAGTCCAAACAGAGGATGCTTTTCCGTGTCGCGAAGACCCGACAACCGTGCTGCATCACAAGCTCTGTGTCGAATGCTAGGTAAATGGGTTGTCCGGCTCGCGTTC